TCCTCACTGGTGGTAGTCGTCGCCGAGGGGGTTGCGACAGTAATGATGGGTAGGGGGTGGGCGGTGGTAGAGGCGGCGAGACATCAAAGGTGTGATCACCGATGCTGATAGAGTTGGTCGTCGTCATGGTCTCTGTAGGGATTGAGTCAGGGCTGGCAGTTGGGGTATTCGTGGAGGCACTATGTGGTTATCCTGTCGTCATTACATAAAGTTGAGAGATGTCCGACGCGGAAATTTGTTTTCTTGCTTTAGAAGCCATCTCGGGAGGTGCTCAATGGACCTGGCTGCTAACTGCCTTTGCGTTCGTCCAATTTACTTGCATCCGCAAGGCCATGAGAATTCACAAATACAATTTGAAGTGGCGTGTATCGGGAAGGCATCTCTTGCCCGTAGAACTGGAAGAGGCTTTGTAGGACTACATAATAAGAGTTCAGCCGCATTGAATGTCCTTTTAGTGGTGCAACGTAGCCGTCGTTTGGTAGTATTTACAATATTTCCCCCTTAAAAGTGCAAGGATAAAAAAACTGGCTTTTTCGGAACTAAATGTTCCGTCAGTTTTGGCAGTGAAAAGTTGTTGCCCTTGTGAATTAAGTGTGCAGGATATCCACACTCGAGCATGGTTTCTTTGAGACATGCAAGTTCTTCATTCAGTGTTTCATTAGAGCAAATGTTCCTAGCCATTTGGAAAAGTGTATACCAAGTTCCTTTTCCATTGTATGGGTACTAAACACAAGAAATTCAAGTATTGCCTTTTCCAAGTATTCTTATGGAAAACGGAACGTCTTATTGAGCCACCTTCCTGTCTCAACACAGGAAGCTCCAGGAAAGATAGTTGGCTGTCTTGTTATTTTTCCATTACAAATTTGATCTGTGGGTGTAGTTTATTCATAGTGGCAAGCAATTCTTCAGCTTCTTTAATGCCATCAACAATGGCAAATACATCATCCAGGCGTCTTTTGTAGAGTGGTATCACGTTCAATTTCGAGGACACTTTTTCCCCTAGATGACCCATAAAGACATCAGCAACTGTAGGACCGAGAGGACCTGCCATGACCACTCCGTATATAATTGGCCGTTAAAAAGAAATTGAACGTTCGTTGTGCTCGGTAAAGCTTTCCCACTATTCTTCCCGTATTGTTGTCAAGTTACTAATTTTACTGATTAATCTGCATTGCCCTAGACCATAATCTTGCTAGTTTACATCGATTTTTTACACAGTCTCAAACTGCGGTATCCTTCTCACTCGTTATTTATGTTATGAAGTGACAAGACGCAGGTGATGAGCCGTAGCGCAATTTGTTGATACCAGTAAATCCTGCCCTGCACGCTTGCTCCAGCATAGTCATGTAGACCGGTGGTAGATTGCGCAGGTGGTCTGCACGGCGACACCCGCACCTCGACGTTCCACCACACCCCCTGGTCCACAGCAAACACTTAACGAGGATTTCACACACAACAAGAGACGAGTGGGGCCCCCTAGGTCCCACTAGGTGGTAATGCCACAAGCTGCAAATGCTTGCTGCTACACCCACAGTTCCCCATCATAGTGAGCATACTGTCAGTCACATTTATTGCTCAACAAGATGAATTCAATATAACTGACCTAGACAAATTCAACAACAGCATGTTTGAAATGAACGAAGGTCTCGGCTGCCTTAAAATACTTTCACTGTAAACACTTTTCGTCAAACTTATTGTAAACTCCAATCCTAACATTTAAACAACTTTTAAAAATTACATTTTACGAAGATCTAGATAGGGACTGCTTCGATCTCTTTGACACTAACCAATAGTGGTTTGCAGATATCGGAAGAGGACGAATTTAAAATGAAATTTAAACACCATATATACGAGAGTTAAACTGCATAGAATTAGTTGCATGACTGCTAGCCACAATATGCATCGATATTTAAACATTTGTACAAAAATTCCTGGATTACGTAACTAAATCGCCATTATAACCACAAGGAATATAAGCATACAGTAAGTGGCGCAGCTCATGAAATTATAGATGAAGTACTGAAAGGTTGCAAAAATTATTTAGCTGCGGACGTAGTACTGACGATCAGCCTGCATAATCTTGTGATAATATTTGTGGCATGATTCCGGCTCTTGAATGGCTGGCTTCTACAACTCCGTGCAAAAACCAAACTTGGTAATAAGTAGCTACTTAAGTAATGTGATTTTCACTATTTTTCGACGCCATTATTAATCCAAACACATTTTTACAAAGCACGAACAAACAATATTCTGCCTTATACGTATTGCAGGACAGATTACGTCTCTTTCAAGTGCTCTACTAGAAGAAACTATATCTTTTTTGGTTATGAAAACGTTTTTCATTTCCGAGATAGCAATCAGCCCGATCTGCCGTACCACATGAGCTAAGGCTTTACTATCCACAAGCTCAAAAGTTTCCGTTTAAGAAAAAAAGCGCACTAGTAGGATAAGAGATAGAGCTGCTAAAAATAAAGTGAATACGGCTCATGTTGCCTGCTTCATAAACAGCGTTGACAGACAGGCAGATGAAATGCAATCCAAATGCATATCGTACGGCCTTCAAAGTATTATGATCAAAAACGTGTTAAAAAGACTGACCTTACTTAAGTTAGCAATTTAAAAGTGCATGTTTCAATAAACGACGTACGTAATAAGATAGGTTTGTGCATATTTTCAGTTGAAATACCTTTGGATTTATATAGGTAGCGAAGAAAATAGGAAAAAATCCCAATACTAAGTTAGTCATCTTTTAAGAAGCCAGAAATATGCACATTTGAATGTGGGCACGATTCCGTGACTGAAATATCTTTGATTATACAACATGGTAATCAGTAGTACTTTCCCACTAATGTAATTATTCTTACCGTAAGTCACATAACAGAATTACAGTCGACATTTAATAGAATAAACACACTGGAACATGACATCTTGATTAGGTTCGACAACGTTATTCATGTATGTAGCTTTCGTGCTGGTCATTTACGTTTGTAGTTGTGCAAAATGCAGAAAGATAGTGCAATTTGAAGTATTTGCTTTCTTTCACAGAAGACGACGATATTATGGTTTAAACTTTTAAAAATATAGATAAGCCAAGTTGGCTGTCAAAAATGTTCTCAACGGCCCTCATTTTTATCATCCGGCACAGCGGAGTTCAAAAGTCAGCAACAAGGGAAAAATCATTGGTGCAAGAAGGGGGATGTTAACTGGGAGAGATGCTCTTGTGATTGTGATTGAATATGCCAGCACATTTTCACTAACTGGATATTTCTCCAACCCCCGCTTTCCACATTCGCAAACACACATTTCCTGGTATTTTTTTCACTTTTTTGTACAGTACTTGAGATCCATGCTTTCAGTCTCGTCGATCGTATTTTTCTTTGAGTAACATTATCGACAAAGACAAGGGGAGACTGGAATGACCATTTCTGGCTTATTAACCGTTGTCATCCAGTCATACCCAACCACGACGTGTGGAACATCTAGGGCTTGATCCTGCGACCTGTTAGTTAGAAGTCCAACGCCCCTAACTGCTTGATTTCACAATCTCAATCGCTTACTTGAGACGCTACCAGTATTAATTTGAAAAAGAGAAGCTGTATCTTAATAAAGATCTCTAACAGATGACGCTTTCGAATATGTCATGACACAGTTATAGGCCGGCTTATTTCGCTAATAATTCCACGCTATTCTATAAAATAACCTTAAGGTCATCTTGGAGTCGTCAGCACGATTGCCCAAAAGCTCCTTTTCTCTCCTAGAATATATTCGACTTATAACTAGTTAGTGTGTATAGTAAAACAAAGCCAACCAGACAGTGCATGTTATGTACGTCCTTTTTGTGTAACAATTAAAACTTTATAAGGTTGGCTAACTGGTTTTTAATAGGTCCTGTCAGAAAATATGATGGCATAATTGCCTTCGGTGTGAATTGTGAAATAAACAAATCTCATTGAGAAGGTAGTAATTTATTATGCGATCGTGAGTTTTAATCCTATTGGTTCCTAAAACAAAGCCGACTGGATAACTATATACGAAAAAATGATGTACAGTTCTTTTTATTTGATTGCGTTACCAAGTTATTCATTTCCGGTCATTCAGTGAACACAGTGCTCACATTTAACTCTTGTCTAGATTTTCAAGTTATGTGTACGAACAAACCCAACTTATTCAGCCACCCAAAAGACTAATAAACTAATTGNGTTCGCGGACAGTGTTACGGAAAGGAATATACAGTTTTATACAACTTCAGTTCGATCCAAGTTAAGAAATCATCAGAAAAATCTGTAAGCTGTAACAAATACCTCGATTTATATTAGAGATAGCCCTGCAAATGGGCATTGTTGGCAGCCGGATTAAGAAGAGGTCGAGCAACCTTTGATCCACCCTTCTGCTCAATTCGAAAATTTTATTAAAACAAAATAGAATTCTGTTTAACACAATCGGAGTGTTCACGTCGTCATATGAAACTTCTAATCGACATCTACAGTTCTTCGCTCCCATAAGCCAACACAAGTCTAATATGACAGGTATATAAAGTAAAAAGCTCGAGTATCAACATGCAAATCTTCGTCTGTTTTACATACTGAATCATGCCTCTCGTCTTAGAATCGTATGCCTGAAGGGTGCCTATTCAAATTTCCAGCCTCACAGCCATTTCTGACAGATACCAATTTCATTAAACGAAATGATGTCTATGGTATTTTGAGGATAAAGTTGGTGGCGGCCCTGCTGGAGCCTTACATTATAGGCCTGCTATATGAAAAGAGAAAGACAGATTGGGCGAGCAGCACGAAACAATGAAAAGTAATTTATGCACTCGGGCTTTTTGCAAAAGTAGGACAAGATAGTTGGATCGCTCGAAGGCAAGATGCAAGAAGAAAGAGCAAGGCGAAGAGGAGAGGAGGATGAGGGGGGAGGAGGAGTAGGGGAGAAGCAGGGTGAAGGGCATGCGAAGGAGAAGGAGGAGGTGTTGGTGAGGAGGAGGAGGAGGAGGAGGAGGAGGAGGAGGAGGAGGAAAACATTAAGAACGAGAAGCATAAGTAGGATAACCTGCCTGATAAATCGGCAGATTTTGTGTTCTGTAAACAAAATGTATTCCTGCTACAGTTAGCAGTAGCAGCAGTGTTCTTGTGCACTGTTTGTCTCTACGACAGAGGAATTAGAGTAAATAGCTCGTAGCACTTTGTATTTTACATAAGGCTTCCCTGCACTTCTTTTGCATGAACAAGCGGGAATGCAGGCGTATGAGCCGTCAGAAGGCAATTCCTGAGAGATTGGACGTAGCAACATTCGGCTGCATCTCGATTTCATTTGGAGTCGGCACTGCAGGAGAACATACATAGACTATCACAGTCTGCGTCTTGGGCGTAAGAAGGTATGCGGGTGTAAGCAGCCGCATTCGGGCCATGCAAACAACTTGCTGTTGACAGAGAAAGAGACGGAATCCAGCTTTGCTCTCCATGCTGTACAGGGAGATATCAACGACAGAAATTTGGCACACGTCTTCATAAATGCAATATGTGTGATATAGGGCGGTATAAAGTGTTGGCGACAGGAAAAGGAGAAAAGTCATCTTAGGAGACGCCTTAGAGGAAAACCAAGCATACCACCAAGATGACGTCTGAAAATCCGGTCCTGTGTCCAGGAAGTGTCCATACCCTAAATAGCCTGCGGTTTGCTGGCTATCTCGTAGAGCATTTTGTCGCCGGCTCCAAGACTAGTGTCAAAATTGTCGTGCCGAACACCCTGATTGGTGGCATTAACGGCCGTCGTATTATGCGTCGGCGTGCCCGCTGTCTGTTGGCAGCGATGCTCCGAGTTGATGCCGTTACTAACCGTGTTCATCTCGCAGGTTGTGCTAAGGCACTGACTGTTGAGAAGATGACGCGTTTGTCCAAGTGTCTGTGCGTGCGGCTTATGCTGCCGATCCACCTTTTGGGAGTGAAGGGGAGAAGTTTGTTGTGGCTTGCATGTCTCAAACTGGATTGAGTCAGTATTATGTGGTACACGCTGTGAGGAAGCATGACTGACAGAGACGGAAGTACTGTTGGCGGCAGGCATAGAGAAGATCTGCCTCTGTTCTCCACAGGAGTAAGGTGCCGTCTGGGTTGTTAGAGCAGCCACTGCGCCAGTGATTGTGGGTTTTGGCTGTCGGCGACGTAGCCATTCGTGACGAAAGGCCTCTCTTGGAGTGATACGATCTTCTGGGAGCCACTGAAGGCAACGGCTTAGGAAGTCAAGAAAGACGGGGTCCTCACAGCCTTTCAAGGCTGACACAAGACTCCGTGAGCCGGGAATGTTTCTAATTTTGCCTCGCTTCGTTTTTCCGGGTCTCAAAATGACGCGGCCGTTCTCATCTACCTCCATACAATACCGGGGACATCCATGAGTCGCCGAGAAAAAGTGTTTGAGGCGGCGACTCTGATCCAGTAGTTTCTGTGGAGGCATTCCTAGGACTTCCATGATGCAGGCTAACTGATCTAATTCGTCTTCTCCTGGAAACAGTGGCGAACCTAAACAAAGAAAATTGCGGCTTATTTTAAAGTCATCTTGATTACGTTGAGAAAAATCTAGCGAGCATCAATAAGGACAGGAAACGACTCAGCAGAGGTTTGCTTTTTTATCATTTTATATGTACGCCTTAATTTCGTTTTGTGCAATAAAGTGGAACAAATAAGTGAAAAATAATCTTTTATTTTTTCGCAAGTTAAACACCTGTAAGAAAAAAATGGCTTTTTGTGCATTTAAAGTTAGGTCAATGCAAAAGTGTAGAGATCAATACGAAGTAAACAAAGTTTTCGTCTCAGACAGTCACATAAATGTATTTGCATAGAAAGCAAGGACAGACTTTGCAGACCCGTCACGATTACGGATGCTGTGCTGCTTATACGGCAGAATGCTTGCCAAACCCCGGAATTTATTATGCCCCAACAAGAAGCAGCAGTCATACAGTAACGACTAATATGTCTAACATATAGTTCACGCAGCTTTGCCGGTAAGACTTCAGTCGTTAATATTCAGTTAGAGATGTTTTGGCTGATTTTAACTAATTCACTTTGACCCACCTGTGAAAAAATCGGTGCCTCAGTGGAATTCGCACCCACGACAGCGAGGGCACTGAATTACGTGAGCCTGGTATTCATCTGGTGAATTCTAGATGTATTACCTAGGAAATCCCGCTTGGGCAGTCAGCTTGCTGTATCAGATTTGGTGGATTCCAGACGTTGCAGTAGGTTAGGAGGATAAACTTGACCCTAATGTCATTAAACCCGCATCGTCCGGTGGGGCTTCGTAGCTCAGATGGTTAGAGCGTTTGCTGTGTTAAAGCCTCCCATTGCTGTTGTGGGTTCGAATCCCACCGAGGCATCGAGTTTTTTACAGGTGGGTCAAAGTGAAATATCCAATTAAGCAGACATTTTATAAGCATATACACAATGATGCACAAAAGTAGAAATCCACGGCAGTCGGCAGCGGTCATTTTATCAAAACAAGCGTAACTGCAGGAGACGTGCGCAAATGGTCCCCGACACTAAAATATGTTCCAAAAAAACAACCGATATAACTTCCTTTAAACAAAATTGCACATTCCATTTTACTTTGTTTGATTTCTGAAGAAATTAATGCGCGAACTTAAAGTAAATTCCTCAAAACAGAACTTTTCAGGCACAGTCCGAAAGTTTATATGAATGTTTGAGCTGAAATCCATCAGCAACTGCGGAGTAACCGCGTAATATTCACAAAGTGCCAGCAGGCAACCCGTAGTATACAATTGTGTAATTATTTACTAGTTACTGTGATGCTTTCCATTTCAAAATGCTGCTGGTGCACAGGCACACTAAGCATGGGCATTATAATTACTGGTTAAAATCATCCGAATCAGCAAAATATTAGAATAACGAGATTTTCTTGGGGTCGATGAATAATTCATAAGAAAATGATTATCTTTCGACGTAAAAAGCTATTTTTACAGAACCCTTATTTTCGCACATCGAACGCCTAACTTCACCGTTTGCAATATGGTCAGATAAGTTACATTAGCGATCTCATGTAAAGACATCTAAACCAAATGGCGGACTACATAGAGTCTACTTAATATTCAAAAGGCAAAAAGAATCCAAGGAGTAAAACAGTAACACTAGCACCGCATTATTATTTAGATACCTTTCAGAATAGCTGTATCTGTGATCCATTGTCAGTGCCTGCTGTGTGAAAAAATATGATTGCATGTCACACGACTTTCTAGGCGGTCGGATATGTTCTTATTGATTTTCATAGGCCTTCATTGTTTTGCCCAATTTATGCAAACCGGTTGGTAAGACTGCTTTAGTGTCAAATTTCTGTCTGCTCATTCAAATCGTGGGAGGGGAATACTTTAACCTATTGGGTAACTATTCGACCGGATGATTAGTCTGGTTCACGTCGAGTTAACTGTCTGTTAGCGTCGTGTGAATGCCAGCCGTTTTTCATTAAGTCAGCCATGGCCATTATGTCCTTTTTTCCACGAATGTAATGACAATAAGACCTTGATGAGCAGGAAGGGGTTTATACGTAAGGTTAATAAAGTGGCATTTGTGATCCACGCTCCCTGCGAGAATTGCTTATTCTCAGAACAGCTTCGGCCTAAAATAGTTGCTAATCGGAAGTCAGTGGTGTCTCCAGTCTCTCCGGAATGTGTTGCGGGTTGAGAGCCACCATGTTGAGAGTTATGCATATGGGAATGTGTAAAGTTTTCGCGCAATTCACCTATTTAGTTGAAATCCTCATAAATGAAACATATAAACTGTTGGGATTGCAACCAAGACCTGCGCGTTCGTCGCTTGGATTCCACGACGCCAAACTGTGTTCTCGGTCTACAGGCCATGGCTACTCCGGCGGGCTGCAGCAGTCAGGAGACTTAATCAAGGAACAACACTGAGGTTGACGGTAATTCATCTATCGTAATCTACGAGAACAAACCTGTCCCGAACATGCAGTGGAAATTATGTCAAGGCTTAATTTACAGTCAGTTCACTTGCAGGGAAAAAACTAGCCTTCTCTCCATTGAACACTCAGAAAGTCTGCAGTAGCACTTTATCTGCAATCTAGTGACCGCCAGCAAGCGACATAGCCGCAAAAAGAACAGTCTGCAAGTACGAAGTTGGCCACTTAAAAAGATATAAAAATTCAGTTCTATTTTGTATATATCATTGGCTCCGATAATACATCGTAGATATAACTACTCAAAAAGTCAGTCAGGCAGTGATCCTGTTCTAGAGATATTTTTTATTTTCGGTTTATGAACCTGGATCTCTAAACGCGGCGCTTTCAAAACTGAAGATGCCTATATTGGTGTATTAATGTTGTGTGTGGTCTGTGAGCTAGAACTACAGATATTAGAGATTTTTCGAAGCTAACAAATAAGATATTCAGACTTTTATACTTAAAAGGTCAGTCCTTTATATCTACTAGCACAGCCGATATGACTATAACAAACTCGCCTGCAAAATCAGGAGGTGGGAACAGTAGATTCCTCTAGAGGGTTGGGAGTTGTAACTGGGATAGCTTTAAGATAGAACATTGACGTGAATTCGAAAGGTTAGCTCTGTAAAAGTGTTGCAGATCATGTGCGTACCTTTTATGCGAACATTCTATCTTCCCTTAATTGATCGCCAAATCATATGACCTAGCAAAATACACAACTCGTCTTAAAATAGAGACTTATAGAGCACAAGTTGGATAATTCATACTTCCCTATGGAAGCATATACTACATGTATTTATAATACAGTTGGTGTGATAACTCGTAAAATGTTAACCGAAATTCTGAAATACGTTTTCGACTCGAAAAGATTACTTGGGTAGGATTGTAATATTAACAACCATGCAGCATAATGCCATGACAATTCAGTTACTCCAGGATGACGGCTTTTGAGCGAACTTCTTTTCGGCTGCCTGCAAAACTTACACTCGGCAAAAAGGACTGCATAACTAATATGAAATTTTCTCATTGATGTTCGAGGCCTTTGTAAATTTAAATATATGTATGGAAAACATATATAAAATATTGCTTCCTTTACTTCCTTTGGTTGGAGTTTTCCTAAGGGCTCTTAGTTCATACCGTAAGCTAACCCTGCAGTGTCCTCATGAGAAGGATGTCACTTACAAATGAGTCCAAAGGTTTTTTGTGGCTCTCATTCCTTCTCTGTCTGCAACCGTTCTTTCCCAAACTAAGCATATCCTGTCATAAGCTAGGGTTTTTGATAGTGTTCCTCAACTGTATCATCACAGACTCTAATAATAAATTTACAGCTGGCTGCAAACTCTCGAGTACGTCGGACTATAAGAATGTGAAAAAGTAAAGCCCAATTGATTGCTTTTCTTTTCTTGCGAATTGGATGTCCAAGTTAACCAAGGCATCCCGGGATCGGAGTAGCACCAGTTAATGACTCGGACAAGTCAGCAACTAACATTTTCCGTCCCCGTCCTTATTGCTAATAGTTTTATAACCAACTAATCTCGAAGACCACCTTACTTCTTTTTGCATCGGGGATTGTGGGTGCCGGCGAAAATGACGGGCACATCGGACAACCAAACTATGTCTGGCAATGTCACTGGTCACAAAGAGGTCAGAATGAGGTAACGGTCAGATGTGATTATGTGGCCCCACCTGAGGTAAGCAAACCCCAGCCACCTGTAATACGGGACCGGTGGTAATAGGGGTTTTTACATTTAGGGCCGGAAAACGCGCAGGCGACGATGTCAAGTAGTTGTATGCAAAAGAAAAACTATTGGGAATGCGCGGTTGTACTTTGAGTGGTTGATAAATAGTTGTCCTAACACCAACCCTAACCTCCAACCCTAGCCCCTAATTCTAACCCCTAACCCCAACCCCAACAGTATTGTGTCAATCAGATTGGGCTACATAACCACATCTTGCAGAGGTGTAACTTCATCGGACTTAAGCAACTAAATCGTAGTTTCGACTACAGAAGACCTCGAACTCCATCCATCTGATGGGTACTTTGGCGAATTGGTAAAAATCGGGAGATAGCACCCAAAAAATCCGCTACTTAGGAATAATACCTTTAACAGTGCACTCAAACACCTTCAGGCTATATCAGCGGCTGCAGGCCTATTTTCACGCACTTATTGGACTTTCCCCGACGGCCTAACATGGGTTGGCCGAACGAACGTCGCAGAAGGTTACATGGACGATGGTCGCCGTTACCCAACCTCCCCCATCGTTACACACGTACACCTGATTATACGGCATACATTCGCACTATGGCAGTTTATTACAAAACAAAATCACTTTTAAATAGGATACGTCTGCACAACATGGGGCAGGAACAGTTCCCAGGCATCTGTCAAAGACATGGCATTGGGGCCAAACCAAAGACGGTACTGTACTTCGTCTATGTGAGCCCACGCAGCTCGACCACATACAGGGCCTCCCTCGTGGAGTTTCCTTTTCAGTCTACTCCAGTATGCTTCAATGACATTGGTGTGCCGTCCGGTGGTAGGGTCCTTGAAGTTCTTTGAGTGGTTCACAGAGAAATGTAGAGAACCTTCTAAGGGAATACGATTATACGCCTTCCACTCGTCCGTTACCACTATACTGCCTTTGGTGACCCATTTTTAAATATCGGAACGGAGAGCGGGCCAACTTCGATCATTCATCTGTTCAAATAAGGCTTTCCGTCGACTAGTATCGTACATCTCGACCAGCCACCACCCATAAAACTCCTATTACCACCTGTCCCGTAAGACATGCTGCTTTGGTTAGGCGGATTTTTTTGGGTGCCATCTCCCGATTGTTACCGGCGAATTATCCGGCCAAACAGTCACGCAGAATTTAAGCGACCCCCTCAGTCTGGTGACAACTCGTGCAAACAGGTCGCTGGCATAAATATCGCATAAATCAAACGGGAACATCTACAAATATTATTATAAAGTCCGTTGGAGTGCCGTCCTATTTTACGCACAATTCGGTCATTAACAGCAACCAGTAGCGAAGTCTAGCACGTTTATAACAGATGTGCGATCTTTTTTGTAGGCAAGGTTGATATTCGATCATACACAATGACAGAGGTAGGACTACTATCGAAAACTGCCTACTCCAGATGCCTACGTAGGAGGTGTTCGGTAGGGTTTTTGTCGCAATTCAATCACACTCTTCGACGGCTCTAACCCCGGCAGGATGACCTTCTTTAAATTAAACGGTCTTGATGACGCGGTGCTGCAAAAATGTCTGTATAGACTCACTTTTCTGCACCCTCCACACGTAATTCTTTAGCAGAATGCACGAGGCGTCTAACTTTGCATATTCCCACCGCCCATGTCGCCGTGATGTCCTGGTAACCCAACGAAAAACATTACGACATGACCTACTCCTTTATGTCCGCAATATGGTTCGCCCTGTTCGGTCCAAACCAAAGGCGGTACTATACTACGTCCACGTGGATCCATACCGCTCTGCCAGACGTGGGGCTTCCTTCGCATGGCTTTCCTCCAAGGCGTCTCCAGTACGCTTCTATGAGGTTCCACCCATATAACCCCTATTACCACCATTCCCGTAAGGTTAACTTTACCAGTTACCTTTTTCTGGTCCCGGTTATGTACGTTATCGCTGCTCCATGGAATGGATTACGCAGCATTTATTTTTGCAGTGTCATCAGCATGCAGAATAAAATATTAGACGCCATTGTAGTGTTATTTAGTATCTTGATTTAGCCGAGGTAGAAAGGCGTTTGAATAAGCACTGTAAGCACTCATGTCTAAATAAGCACAGGAAGGGCGCATTTAGTACTTTCCTTTTAGTTATCTTAACCTAATCAAAATAAATCATTAAAAAAATACACTGAACTTCTGTGTTCCTAATTAACTCTTGCGTATAGAATCAACCGCATGTGCCCGAAAGCTCAGAAAAATGTAGTGACTGTTTCGGCTATTGTACAGTCTTCTTTCCTTTAGTGATTGACTGTCTCACATGACAGTGAAAATAAGTCTATATTATTTGAAACGAATGAAAATGAGGTCCGCGCTTGTTCGGGTTATTCGACACATAAAGACTTGTGGGATCGGTTGCAAAAAGCGATTTTTTGAAAATGGATAGTACATGAATACATTCTTCTACAGTGAGTATACTTCCTTAATTTTCCAAAGGACAAAGTGTACAAACTTGGCTTTTATCCAAAAAGCCCTGGTGAGTGCAAACTTTTTTAAGAACAGGTTGCTGATAAACCGGGGACTAGATATGCTTTGCAAATCTCCTGGTGCTGCCCAGGATTTCGAATATTTTGACAAAACTGAAAATTCTTGCATTTATAACCTCCGAAGATCTTAGAGTTTACTGGAAGCTTGCGTGGGCTCTTTTGGTTCTTGACTACTATGCTTTCAGGCCTGGGTAAACTCTCACAAGGTGAGAAGTAGTGCGCTTTCCGACAATGTTTGCGAGGTAACGACTATCAGGCAGTTCACGGGTTAGCAACTCGAAACTCGAACACATGCTACTGTTAGCCCTGGATATTTTTAAATGTGCATGATGCAGTGCCCGAGCGTCGGAACAATCGCTGTTGACTGACGCCTACTCAAGACCGTTTCGTACCGCTTTCAAGCACTTTGATTGGGATTTCTACATAATGCCAACTTTCCTGGAGCAGAACCAATGTCTAACGATTACGAAATAGTTTTGACAATGACCCTGCTAGGGGAGTATTACGATGGTATCGACAGCTGAATTCTAGAACGGTGAAGGAAGGGAAATTTGGGATGGTTGTTTTCTGTGCTTAAATGTGCTCTGGTTGTGAAGAAATAAATCAGTTGCTTGATGAAAACTTATAATAAACACCAAAATTTCTTCCCCCTAATTGATATCGACAGGAAAATATGACGTTTGCTTAGGCATGGTCCGAAGCCTTTAAAACCGGAATCGCGTAAGCGTTTTTTTAATTTGGTCGATTTCAAATATAAAACTCATCTGTGAAAAACTGATACAGAACTTACGGTGAAATAATACCCAACACATGAAGGAAAAAATCTTACTCATGTTCTTTTAACCTCAACTAAACTGTTTCGTTAACACGGCTAAACGCCTATGTATATGATGCCAACTATTCTCTAGGAGTGAAAACGCCTACGAAACCATGTCATAGTATAAACATTCTACAAATATTTCTTACGAAGATTTTGTTGCTTCATTCTTTGGCATCCAGACTAGTTTAGTCATTTTATTTTTCTCGTTTTTCATACTTGAGCATTTGGTTGATTATTTCACTTTCAGTAGACAACTGCCAGAAAATGTGTTGCTAATTAAGTTAGCTATTTCTAAAAGTTAGGAACGAAAACAGTGAGTGGCAATTTACAATGGTAAAAAATTGCGCATAAAAACACGCAGCCTACCTGTGAGAAGCTCTGCCAAAATGCATCCAAAACTCCAAATATCGATGGAAACACCGTATTTGCAGCCCAAGATTACTTCCGGCGCTCGATAAAAACGAGACTGAATGTACGTATAAATCCTTTGATTTTCGAAGCAGCTGGAACCAAAGTCGATAACCTTAATGCCGCTTCGACCTTGCTGTTTAAGCAGAATGTTTTCTGGTTTCAGGTCGCAGTGAATAATTTTGTTGCGGTGGAGCATGTCAAGACACACCAAGATAGAATGAGCAAATTTCCTAACTAATTGCAGTGGAAAGCCCTGGAATTTGTTTCGCTTGATGAGTTCATAGAGGTTCATGTTGAGTAGCTCAAAGGTCATGCAGACATGGTCTCGGAAAACAAAGTGCTCGAGCAAATGAACAACATTTCTTGTGTTATCGACATCCTGAGCTCGAAGAAGTTCAAGAATCCTTATTTCCTCAGCCGCTTGCTTTGTAAATCGTCGCTCATTCCTGACCATTTTCAAACCTACGAAGGTGTTTGTTTTGTGGTCAAATGCCTTAACGACCTGGCCAAAACTGCCCTTTCCTAAACTTTTTAAAACCTCATATCTGTATGATACTTGGTCATGGGCAGTGTGCAGATAGGATCCCTGATCATCATCATATCCACAGTTGTTGGCTGCGCCAGGAATTCCTTGCCGCTTTTTAGCATTATGTCCAACAAAGTAGATAGTCGGGTAGTTCAAGATCTCCGTCAATTCGTACGCTGACAGCTTTGTTTTGAATTGTTTTATTGCTACCTCAGGGCTGATGCCGACCGTCGGTAAGTTGACAGCGGGACCTCCATTCCAGACTGACTGACTGACGATTGCGCCACTTGCTGGTGATCCGTAAGCAGGAGACTGCTGACAGTTTTGACTAAAATGGAGGCCCCCGCCCCCTTCGGCTGTCGTCCGAGTTCTCGGCTTCGCTGCATGGCCGTTCTCGTCCGGTTTTCCTACGCCTCCATTTTCAGATGGCGAAGAACCACTGGGCTTTGGACATACTTTGGCGCATACAGCAGTTGTCTTTTGATTAGTTACTGGCACGTTCGGAAGGTGAACTTCCTGCTGGGTACCTGAATAGCTGGTGTTGTTAAGTGAGCCTGAAGAGTTCTGTTTTAGAAGGCGTTCCTCGTACAAATGATTTATGCCAGTAAACGCTTTGGTATTGAACGCTGGATTTGAACGTGGTGTACCAACGCCGTTGATTGCCAAGGATCCCATATCGCTGGTTCCCTTTAATTCATTAGATGGATATACAGTAAAATTTCCAGTATTGTGTACCGATTTTGATTTAGGAATAGTAATTAATGGTGGAAGTTGCGGAAATATGAGCGTTGGGTTCGAACTGGACATAGATGCTGTAGGGAACTTATCGCCCGATGTAAAACGTCCGGACTTTGTGGTCCTTACAAACGTCGTCCCATTTTTAGAGTTGAAATAGCTAAAGTCCAAGAAAAAGATGTTGAAAATCACAGCAAGTTTTAATTTTAAAGTCAAAAATATGGTAATTTTTTTACTCGAGCGAAGTGTACAAACATTTTAAATACAAAAAGTGAGTATAGATAAACGGGCAAACGGGTTTTGTTTTTAATGACATTGATATGCGTTGATCTTGGATTCATAATAAATTATGCATCGTGATTCTGGACATTCTACAAGCATTGCTATAAATTATAGAGAGCGCTCGCGGGGTAATTCCTAAACAGCATATATTTTCCGTCGTTGAATTAGAGTTAGTTACGGCCATTGAAAAAAAGCCGTGATGAAAGAAACGACAGCCGAATAAATAAAAGAAACTTGGTTTTCTGTAAGAACTGTGTTATGAGTAGATTCTTCGATTTACCCACGCCCCACACCTTTATATGATCTCTAATTTTATGTTCCTCAGGCAGTGGGCATACACTTGGAGAAACTTCTCTTAAACAATTACTCCAACTCTTCTAACTTTGCTGAAGAAAGTGTCATAAACATTGTGAAATAGTTTGAAAGTCGAAACACTGGCCCATATTAAAAGCATAACGAAAAATTTGATTTCGATGAAGTGTGCAGATGTAGGTCTAAGCTCCAAAATCCTTCCCAGTATATTTTATAATAGAGTATTCGAAAATCGCAATAAAACATATTTTTGAATACGAGTGGTCAAAAACTTTCTTCAGTGGTGACTGGATAGATGACTTTGTACCAAATTACTTCTCCGTATCTTTAGCAAGTAAACACTGCAAGTTAGCTTAGGTTGGTGTTGTACAGGTAGTCAGAAAATATTTACTGGAACGCTAATTCGCCAAATCATAATAGCTGATTTCCAACTACATTCGGCATACTTCCTTCCTACATGTGTTGTGATATTCGCCGTCCTATGAATCTAATTTGCCCAAATAATAGTTAGCTTGGACATAATGATACTGGAACATGCCAAGTTTTTTGAAAATCACTTGAAAAACAAGTTCAGAGAGTGACTGTTTGGTCGACTTACCCGCTTAGTAGACAGCGGCCGCGGAGGACCTTCAGCCCCAACTTAATCATTCCACCGAGATGAACTAACGAGCCTTCTTGGTCTTTACGGCATGCGGTAACTTTACCGCCATATTATCAGTCAGAATCCATAATTCTACACTGAATGTCATCAGAACACTATAATCAAAGCGTAAATTTGTCGTCTGTCGGTCTGTATGGTATGGGACATTAACATGCCCATTTTTCTGAATACATGAACCTTATTTAGAACGCATACGATGCAATAAATTACCAACGTTAGAATACCCGATATGCCGAGCCGCAAGCACGCTCTCTGACATTTTGTTTAACATTGTGGTTTATAACCAAGAATAATGTAAACGCATGGAGGCTTAAGGGTACTATTCAAACGAAAAGTAGCTATGCTTCCTTACGATAGGAAGCAAGATGACAAACAGCTCAGCCACCTCTTCTGTAGGCTGAGCATAAGTTAGTGACGTTTATTTTTGCAATGTAACGTCTGAGACCTGCTTTGCGAGAACGGGTATTCAAACAAGTTCATTACAAAGAGACCCGCAAAACCCCTCGGAGTGACAGCAAAAGGGAAAATTCTGTTCTCCCAAGTCCTTTTTTGAAATAATTCAACAAGAGAACTCCTGAGATGACACCTTGACCAGGCTGTTTCGCGAACCTTTCCAACGGCAAGACTGTGGGTATTATTCCCGATCAACGCCCGTTTTACACGGAAAAGACAGAAATAAATTGCAGGCTCAGATCACCTCCGTGCGCCTTTACTCAGTTACTTATTCCTGTGAAACAGATTATAGCTGTTGCATGAGTACGCATCCATCCAGAAAAATAAGGGAACACCTACCGGCAAGGTTAAAAAAGGCAGTGCCATACTCGCGCACCTTGTTAACTTTGGGTATCGTGTAGGCTAAAACTCGACCTTCTGTGTGATTTACAAGGTCCCATCAAACTACCCTAGGCTACATGGTCAGCATCTGATAGCGACGGCAGAGATGACTTTCATTAGGTTACGAAAAACCGGTTGTGCCTACACAGAAGAGCCTGGTATAGGCTTCACGCCTACCGCAGCCAAAAGTCGGTTAAATGTACGCACCTTTCCATGTCCACTCCCCGTCTTGCTAACCTTCGCTGCCTCATAACTCACTGTCTCTTTTTTCTCCCCGTTTTCATAACCCACTAGCAAGAAAAGACGAACCGTGATCAATTTTTCTTGTCTCTTACCAGAGGAAATTGATTTCTTTATGGATTAAATCTTTGACGCACATAATTTAGGGCTTAATCGAACATGAGCCTGCTAATAAAGTAAACTTCCAAGTAGAAATTGTTACTTGTAACAGGCCTACTTGGGCAATGCATTCTAATAAAATATTCTTTAGTAAAATTTTTGCATGACCATACCCCAGGACGCCAAGTATCGCCAAAAATATTCTTTGACGATTGTCGCAAAGTTACTCTACCCCTATCTCTAGAATTTCGACTCATATCAGGTATTTGCTAAAAATCGTTTACAAATAGTTCGGCATAACCGTAGCCGGCGACCCATGCAGTCGCAAATATCTCAAAGTTAGTTTTTATCTATCTGGCCTAGAGCGGTCCTTCACTTATGTAAATTGCATTTGATCTTGCCATACATGATCCTGACTAGTAAGAATAAGGAGTCATTCTTGCATTGCGTGCAAGGAACATACAGTCGATTATTGGTGATTTTTCACTTGTATTCACCGTAAAAAATGACGGTGAACGATGTTAAATATCAGCATCAGTGAAGAAACACCCACGTTGAACTATTCAACGTGTATATATGTCAGTTCCTGTTTGAAGGCATTTTTATTCTGAACAATTTTCATAAAATGACAAATAACTACACATGATTGCAATGGATTTTATTTTATTTCGCGCACACGGTAGACATATTCATGTAAGTGGTTGGTTTGTCTGATGAGATGTTAGCCGGAATTTTAAAATCCGTTTCCAGTTAAAAAGGGCCAATTAGCTGGGTCTTTAACACTAACTATCATGCAACATAATCCCAAGATATTTCAGTGAAGACAACGAGCGAATTTCGAATGAACTTCTATCTTGCCGCTTGCAAAAGCCCCACTCGGTACAAAAAGACTATTTCATTAGGATGGATCCCTCCAACTGATCTTCAATTTTCTTATGGATTCAAATCTATTTTATATAAAGCATCCCTGCCAGCCCCAGCCAAATCCGTTCCACTTGGGCTGCATACTCTCTGTGTACTCTCCCTATAGGACAAAACGCACATTGCTCTTAGTTATAAAAAGGGGTTTATGGGGTTCGTCAAGTTTTGCGGTGGATGTAGATTGTGTAGCATGCTTCGTAAGCATTATTAATAAACGGAAAGATACAACGCCGTATATGTGGACATTTCAAAGTCAAAAAATTCATAATCACAAACGTTTTAAACCGCAAGACTAACCTTCACCAAACATGGAACTTGAGGGAAACGCGGTTTGCTACTAAATGAGCACGAGAAAAAATATTCCCGTTCATGTCCGTGATAAATGTTTGGATCGATAAGGGCGTCGATATTGTAGTTTAGATTAATGAGAAAACTCACACAAACCAAACAGTCATTTCTACCCAGTATGATTTTACAAGCGGCTGAAAAGAAGTTCATTCAATAGCCAGCATCCAGATGTGCATGGAGTATCTTGGATCCATGAGGCAGGAGGATTAAACCTCCACTCCAACCAAGCAACCCTTTC